ATACTCCTATTGGAAAGAAAACTTATAATTGTGGTGAATATGGTAAAGTTATATCTACTACTGTGGGCAGGGATCCCTTAGAAGTAATGGAGTAGCCATCATGGTCAACAAGAGTCTGAAATGCAGTACTTGGATGCAATCTCAAAAACGACAGAATGATCTCTGTTCTTTTCCAAGGCAAACCACTCAATATCACAGTAATCCAAGTCTGTGCCCCAACTAGTAATGCTGAAGAAGCTGAAGTTGAATGGTTCTATGAAGATCTGCAAGGCCTTTTAGAACTGACACCCAAGAAAGGTGTCCTTTTCATTATAGGGGACTGGAATGCAAAAGAAGGAAGTCAAGAAACAACTGGAGTAACAGGCAAATTTGGCCTTGGGGTACGGAATGAAACATGGCAAAGGCTAGTAGAGTTTTGCCAAGAGAATGCAGTGGTTATAGCAAACACCCTCTTCCAACAACACAAGAGAAGATTCTACACATGGACATCATCAGATGGTCAACACTGAAATCAGATTGATTATATTCTTTGCAGTCAAAGATGGAGAAGCTCTATACAGTCAGCAAAAACAAGACCAGGAGCTGGCTGTGGCTCAGATTATGAACTCCTTATTGCCAAATTCAGACTTAAATTGAAGCAAGTACGGAAAACCAGTAGACCTTTCAGGTATGATCTAAATCAAATCCCTTATGATTATACAGTGGAAGTGAGAAATAGATCTAAGGGACTAGATCTGACAGACAAGAGTGCCTGATGAACTATGGATGGAGGTTGGTGACATTGTACAGGAGACAGGGATCAAGACCATCCCCATGGAAAAGAAATGGAAAAAAGCAAAATAGCTGTCTGAGGAGGTCTTACAAATAGCTCTGAAAGAAGAGAAGCAAAAAGCAAAGGAGAAAAGAAAAGATATAAGCATCTGAATGCAGTATTCCAAAGAAGAGCAAGGAGAGATAAGAAAGCCTTCTTCAGCAATCAATGCAAAGAAATAGAGGAAGACAACAGAATGGGAAAGACTAGAGATCTCTTCAAGAAAATGAGAGATACCAAGGGAACATTCCATGCAAAGATGGGCTCGATAAAGGACAGAAATGGTGTGGACCTAACAGAAGCAGAAGATATGAAGAAGAGGTGGCAAGAATACACAGGAGAACTGTACAAAAAAGATCTTCAAGACCCAGATAATCACGATGGTGTGATCACTCACCTAGAGCCAGATATCCTGGAATGTGAAGTCAAGTGAGCCTTAGAAAGCATCGCTATGAACAAAGCTAGTGGAGCTGATAGCAATCTAGTTGAGCTATTTCAAATCCTGAAAGATGATGCTGTGAAAGTGCTGCACTCAGTATGCCAGCAAATTTGGAAAACTCAGCAGTGGCCACAGGACTGGAAAGGTCAGTTTTCATTCCAATTCCAAAGAAAGACAATGCCAAAGAAGGTTCAAACTACCGCACAACTGCACTCACCTCACACGGTAGCAAAGTAATGCTCAAAATTCTCCAAGCCAGAATTCAGCAATACATGAACGGTGAACTTCCAGATGTTCAAGCTGCTTTTAGAAGAGGCAGAGAACCAGAAATCAAATTGTCAAACCCGCTGGATGATTGAAAAATCAAGAGAGGTTCCAGAAAAACATGTATATCTGCTTTATTGACTATGCCAAATCCTTTGACTGTGTGGATCACAATAAACTGTAGATAATTTTGAAAGAGATGGGAATACCAGACCACCTGACATGTCTCTTGAGAAACCTATATGCAGTTCTGGAAGCAACACTTAGGGCTGGACATGGAAGAATAGACTCCTTCCAAATAGGAGAAGGAGTATGTCAAGGCTGTATATTGTCACCCTGCTTATTTAAATTATATGCAGAGTACATCATGAGAAATGCTGGGCAGGAGGAAGCACAAGCAGCAATCAAGATTGCCAGGAGAAATAGCAATAACCTCAGATATGGAAATGACACCACCCTTATGGCAGCAAGTGAAGAGGAATTAAAAAGCCTCTTAATGAAATTGAAAAAGTTGGCTTAAAGCTCACCATTCAGAAAACTAAGATCATGGCATCTGGTCCCATCACCTCATGGGAAATAGATGGGGAAACAGTGGAAATAGTGTCAGACTTTATTTTTTTGGGCTCCAAAATCACTGCAGATGGTGATTGCAGCCATGAAATTAAAAGACACTTACTCTTTGGAAGGAAAGTTATGACCAACTTAGATAGCATGTTAAAAAGCAGAGACATTACTTTGCCAACAAAAGTCCGTCTCGTCAACGCTTTAGTTTTTCCAGTGGTCATGTATGGATGTGACAGTTGGACTGTGAACAAAGCTGAGTGCCCCAAAATTAATGGTTTTGAACTGTGGTCTTGAAGGAGACTCTTGAGAGTCCCTTGGACCTCACGGAGATCCAACCAGTCCATCCTGAAGGAGATCAGTCCTGGGTGTTCATTGGAAGGACTGATGTTGAAGCTGGAACTCCAATACTTTGGTCACTAATGCGAAGGGTTGATTCTATGGAAAAGGCCCTGATGCTTGGAGGGATTGGGGGCAGGAGGAGAAGGGGACGACAGAGGATGAGATGGCTCGATGGCGTCACCGACTTGATGGGCAAGAGTTTGAGTAAACTCCAAGGGTTTGTGATGGACAGGGAGATCTGGTGTGCTGCGATTCATGGGGTCGCAAAGAGTCGGACACGACTGAGCGACTGAACTGGACTGAGGAACATATTTTATGATCTCAATCCTTGCATCCCCTCATGGCTAGAGGAGCACTAAATCTTTTCATGGTTATATCATATCCTCATGATTAGCAAGAAACCTTTCGGGAAATGAGTGCTTAATGGCACTGAACTCGCCCTTCACCAAAACCTTATACATTGACCTATCCCCACTGCCACTCTGGAGCAGTCCCTCAGAGCTCTCTGAAGTTCTGCCTCCCGGGCGGTAGTCCTCATTTTGCCCCAGGTCAGTCCAGTCGCTCAGTCGTGTCCCACTCTTTGCGACCCATGGACTGCAGTACGGCAGGCTTCCCTGTCCATCACCAACTCCCAGAGCTTCCTCAAGCTCATGTCCATCGACTTGGTGATGCCATCCAGCCATCTCATCCTGCCTTCAATCGTGCCCAGCATCAGGGTCTTTTCCAATGAATCATTTCTTTGCATCAGGTGGCCGAAGTATTGGAGTTTCAGCTTCAGCAAGAAGAAAGTGAAAAAGAACTATACAGCATCTTGATGAAACTGTAAGAGAAGAGTGAAAACGTTGGCTTAAAACTCAACATTCAGAAACCTAAAGTCATGGCATCCAGTTCCATCACTTCATGGCAAATAGATGGGGAAACAATGGAAACATTTTGCCCCAAATAAAACTTAACTTGCAACTCTCAAGTTGAATATCGTTTTACTCAACACTAGCATCAGACTGTTTACCAGTGAGTTGGCTCATTGTCAGATGGCCAAAGTGTGGAGCTTCAGCCTCAGGATGAGTCCCTCCAATGAATATTCAGGGATGATTTCCTTTAGGATTGACTGGTTTGCACTCCTTGTAGTCCAAGGGACTCTCAGAAGTCTTCTCCAGCACCACAATTAGAAAGCATCAATTCTTTGGTGCTCAGCCTTATTTATAGTCTAACTATTTCATCCATACATGACCAGGAGAAAAACCATAACTTCTGGCAAAGTGATGTCTCTGCTTTTTAATATGCTGTCTAGGTTTTTCACAGCTTTTCACAGGTTTTTCACAGCTTATTTTGGAGCCCTATGAAAGTAATACCGTCACTGTTTCCACTTTCCCCCCATCTATTTGCCATGATGTGATGGGGCTGGAGGCCACGATCTCAGTTTTTCTGAATGCTGAGTTTAAGCCAACGTTTCCACTTTCTTGCAGCCCTATCAAGAGCTTCTTTATTTCCTCTTTGCTTTCTGCCATTAAAGCGGCATCATCTGCGTATCTGAGATTGTTGATGTTTGTCAAGGAGATCTTGACTCCACCACTAAAGAAAGTGAAAGTTGGTTGCTCAGTCCTGTCCCACTCTTTGCAACCCCATGGACTGTAGCCCACTAGGCTCCTCTGTCCATGGGACTCTGCAGGCAAGAATACTGGAGTGGGTGGAGTGGGTTGTCATTCCCTTCTCCAAGGGATCTTCCTGACCCAGGAATTGAACCCCAGTCCTCTGCATTGCAGGCAGATTCTTTACCAAGTGAACCACTAGGAAAGCCCTACTACTAAAAAGCCTTTTGTAAATGCAAGTCTCTGGGCCCAGGTGAAACAAAGCCAGCTATTCAGAAGCCATGGGCTATTTCCTACTCCCTAACTGCTGGTGGGGGTGGGGCGGGGGGGCGATGTGAGAGGAGCCCAGCTTCCTCATCTGCCAGCTCTTATAGTAAACAAGGAATTAGGATGTGAACAATGGAGGAAGCAGGATTACTTCCGGATAGCCAGATGCATATGAAAGAAATTATTTCAATAACTTGGACACTTGCATCTTACCATATAGAGAAGATCACTAAATCTCTTCATGTGAGGGATTTTTTTTTTTAATTATTGTAACCTTTAATAATCAGATTACCTGCCCCTTGCTGCAAACTTGTATACAGTCTGTCTCCTGCCCTGCCTCCTCAGAGTCAGCTGTCAAAAGATCACTTAACGTACTCTCTCCTGGGGTCAAAAGAGTGCCCGCACTCTGTAAGGCAGAAAGAAAGGAGAAGAACTGGCAGGGGTGGTCTGCATAGAGAATGCAGGACAGGTAAACACCAAACAAAGGATGTGATTAGCATATCAGGTTAGTCTGGATTATCAGCTGCAGACCAGGAAGGAGGAAGTAAAAAAGGAGCTCTGAAAACAGCAAAGGGAAACAAGAAAACTATTTCTTTTAGATCATTGCAGCAGTTGCAGATTCAAGAATTGTGTGGATGCCTTTAAAGTTATTTACTTAACACCCAGATGTGAGTTTGTGATAAAAATCCCCATAGGAGACACAGAGCAGGAGGAAGAAGAGGAGGAAATGGCAGCTTCTCAGGTAAATGTCCTGTCCCGGGTCTGGGGCTGTGTCTGCTTTTCCTCCTGAAATGCCTGGTCTAAAAATCTGCAAACCTTCAATTCTCTGCTTCTAATTTTTCTACCTAGGGTGTTTGTTGCCAGCTGCTTACTTTTTCCAGTTTTTCTTGTGTTAGAGAAGACTGGCTCTTTAGACTGTTTCTTCCTTATGTCCCAGAGCCTGTTATCCAATGTCTGTATCCTGGTTTTCTATAGAGAATGATCAATTCTCAACACTGTTCCGTCAGTTTCAATGTTGAGCATATTCCCTTTGTGAAAGGCAGACGGGGAGGCGCTGGTATAAGGGATTCCCAGTGGAATGCTGTTCTGTGTTGGGATCCCAGGGAGGTAGGGGAAATGCCATGATGAGTTTATATCTGGATGCAACTTCAGGTCTTTAGAACAGGATCAAAAGGCAATACCCTTGGAAAAATAATGGACACAGTTATACAGATTTTTTTCAAAAATAAAAAAATGTAGTTGAGACTATCCTCTTCCTCTGTGTCGATAAGAAAGACTTACTAATTAAATGTGGTATTAGGCTACATGACACGGGAGGTATATATGAAGTGAAATTTGCTTCAAACTAACATTTTTTAATGATAGATTCAGATCATTGTTTCCATAATATTGCCAAAATACTCATGCAGTGGTAATGCATTCTTGCATGTACTTCTAACCCCATGACTCTGATGGTCACTGGTTTAGGTACTTCTGTGAGATTCCCATGCTATGCAGCTCATGTATTTTCCTTTTGTCTTTAACAAGTGTCTTGGGGGAAAAAAGTGAGGGATGTGCCTAAAGGATCACAGTAAATGGGGGAATCCCATATGCTCTTAAGTTTCTCTTTGCTTTGGAAGATGACTGTGTTTAGTAGAGATGCTGGGTTTGGGGGATGTTTGTCACTCAACCCCAGGTCTGGTCATTTCCAGGTACACTCCACACTCACATCACAGTCTAATCACATTTTTGTATTTTCCAAAATGTTTATAAGAATCTTATTAGTGTTAATCTAAGAAAAAAAAAAGAATCTTATTAGTGTTAATCTTTGTTCAACTGTATTAAAATTTGAACTATAGCTCTTTGGAAATGATATAGATTTTCAGGAAATTAAAAAATTCAGAACCAGTGCTTTACTTTATGTTACATCATTCTGTATGTCTGTATTTTAGTTTATTTAAAGAAATAAAAATAATATTATCCCCATATATTTATGACATTTTTAATAAGTTTAAAAAAATTTATTTTATTGACATGAGGACTTTTCCCTATTAACTATTAATAAGTATATAGTCCCATTTTAGTATATGTCTCTGTCCACAATCCTGTTAACATGATTTGATCGCTGTTTTTTGATCTATTTTTTTAAGATTTCCAGAAGAAGAGAATAGGTACCCACTCTAGTATTCTTGCCTGGAGAATCCTATGGACAGAGGAGCTATTATTTCTGTTGCACATTCAAGATTCTGTAAAAAACTGTCAGAAAGATATACAGTATATACTAAATAGTTAAAATAATTCTTCCTACAAGGTTACTATCCTATAAGACCTGTAAAATCTGTAAAAGACTTAAAGTTCAGACTGAAGTATGATTTCTTCCCTACTGTTCCCCTTCATTGCTGTTCAGAATGGTCATTTGTGGAGCAGAATTTACAACATCACGAGTTCAAATAAGCTTGGCAAAAATGTGGCACATTTTCTCCACTCCAGAACTCTTGGATCAGAATGTGCTTGTTAAAAATGTTTTCTGTTTTCAGTAGACAATTCCTCCTGGGTCACACGAGTACAACAGTCAAAATAAATAAGCCAGTGTTGGTCTGATTACATTATAATTTCCACTTCAGAGTAGTTTCTTGTGAATCACATCCTCTTTTCTTATGGTTAAAAATGTGGTAGGAAATGTTACTGTGTGATACCAGAAACTACACTAAATCAAAATCAGTTCTCTGAAATTACTGCTTTCATTTAGGGTCAGGTTAGGAAGCCTTCGCTTGGCCATATGACAGTCAGTCAGTCAGTCAGTTCAGTCATTCAGTCATCAGTCCTGTCTGACTGTTTGCCATCTCAGTTGTGTCTGACTCTTTGTGACCCCAAAGTACATTCATGTGTAATTTGTATTTCAGGGACAGCTCATGTTCCAGGATGTGGCCATAGACTTCATTCAAGAGGAGTGGGAATGCCTAGACTTCGGTCAGCGGGACCTGTATAGGGATGTGATGTTAGAGAATTACAGGAACCTAGCCTCCTTGGGTGAGGACAACTGCCTTCCAAAATCCCTTTTCCACCACTGGGTTTGGTTCCTGCATTTCTAGAACGTCTCCTGGAATTTTCTGCTTCCAACAATACCTTCAGATTCCTGCTTTCTAGCAGGAAATGGGTATTTGTGGGTTTAGAAAGAAAGCCTTCATGGTGATTTAATATGATTCTAACCTGTTTCTTCCGTGATGTAATCTGCCTCCTTCACTCTAGCGTGGTGGTGATTGAATCAGTTCCATGGTATTAAATAGTGACACCTTCCTCTTAAAATCACATTTACACTACTTACTTTCGCCTTGTAGTACTTGACCAGAATCTCAGGATCTGATTTTTATGTATTTGTTAATGTTGTAAGGGTGCTTTCCATAAAGTATTTGGGGAAATCATCCTCTAGGCTGTATTAACATTCACCCGTGTGTTCTCTTCTCACCCAAATACATATTGGGTTGGAAACTTATGAATCTCTAGCAAAACAGATATTCCTTTCTCTGATGAACAGGTGTCGTGGTCTCTAAGCCGGACCTGGTCACCTTTCTGGAGCAAATGAAGAATTCCTGGGATGTAAGGAAAACGGACACAACAGCCACATACCCAGGTAGGTGTGAATGGATGGAACTGATGACTCAGGTGAGAGGCCCAAGGAGCAGAGAGGAAGTCAGCCTTTGTCCTGTGGCTTGGGAAGACGTGCTCCAGTGGAAATGATTTTGGAGAACTCTGGGTTCATTTCTGTTGCTGTCATAGATGGACATTGCCTGGCTCTTTCTGCCTCTCAATCATTCATGAATCAGCTCCATGATTACTTTTCTCATCCACAGTGAGAATTCAAAATGTTTTCTGGCTTGTGACAACTTGTATGAGTTGGCTGCTCTTTCATATCTTGGGGGTCCTAGGAAAACTGCCCATTGATGAGTAAATATAAGATGCTGTTTTTAAAGTTTGTTTCTACCTCTAGAAACAAGTGTGTGAGTGGAATTGTAAACAAACTACCAATACTCTAGGAATATTGGAGACAGAATCTTTCTTCAGATTTATATTTTCTAAAACACTGGAAGCTACAAATATGACTTTATACATTTTAAACTCATTGCAATGTATAAAGCAAAACTTCCATAAAATGAGAGAATGCGATTCTCTGAGTTATAGAAATGTTTCACTTTTCTTTATGTGAACTCATTTTAAATATCTGAAGTGTATTTGCCACAATTCCTCAATGGTAAAGTACTTTAATGTATTGAATTAACTCAAAGATTTTTTTTAAAAAATTGGCAAAATAATTTAGAACATTTTCCACCATATTTCTATTGGTTGTTTGAAACTATTAACATTTTAGATCATATAAAGAAGTCCTTTTAAGTCCTTTAAATCCTTATTGGATCTAAATCCCTATTGTTTTACAATGTTTTGCTCTTGTACAGCAAAGAGAATGAAGTATACATATAAATAGCCACTGTTTGTTAAAGTTCCTTCCCTTTGGGTCTCCACGGGGAACTGAGTAGAGGTCTCTGTGATCCCAACACATCTTTTATTTTCTTTTTTTACAGACCCAAACCCTCACATATTTATTTATTTTTTCTTTTAGTCAGAACACAAGTTCCAACATATTTTTTAAAATCTCACTTCTTATTTAATTGCTTAAGACTTTATTATCTTGTTTCTTATGAGCTGCCCCAGACTTTATTAATTTATCTCATTTGTTATCAGTTTCCGATGGCCCTCAGTTTCTTTTTTTTTTTAAAGTATCAAATTTATTTCAATATCTAGTTTCATTTTTAAATTAAAGCTATTCAACAATTTTTTGCAATTTAAAATTCATTATTAGAGGTGAGGAAAACATTAATAAGCTATTAATTATTGAAAACAAAATTATCAACCATGCATTTAAAAAAGCCATGTTAAAGAGGAAAAAGTTCCAACTATACTATTTAACTGAAGGAAATATCCTTTACCTCTTAATTTTGAACATTCTCATTTTGACATAATTTACACCTTTTTCACACAGTTAATACAATGCAAACAAAATTTTTCCAAATGTTAAGACTTTTGTTACCCTTTATGACACATGACATAACTGTAACTCTTTAAAAGTTCCTTAAAAGAAAGTTGAAATTTTAATTTTCACCATGAACCTGTCTGATCAAAAAGTAAAGGGCATCACCACTACATGAATTAAAACAAAGAATAGAATAAAAAACAAAAGTGGTATCTATATAATCAGCAAATTATCTGATAAGACATGTTAACTACTTCACATTTCTACTTAGCACAAGTGAGAATAAACTGGTTCCAAGGTACTACAGTTTTGGCATTTTTGCTCTTAAGCTTTAAATCATAGTGTTACTCTACTCAAGTCATCTCTAAGAAAATGGCAGTATTCATAAGTAGAAAAATGATTATATCCAGTAGGTGGTATTCTACATAATCAAGATAACAAGAAAATTCTTTATAAAATTAGATTTTTTAAAATGCAGACTATCTGGTAATTACCAGTATCTCAAAAGCTAAAGTAAGAAAAATACAGAAAATAGAGAAGTACTCATTGAATAATATTATTTTGCTTTGAGGAAACCAGAAATGATTCTATTCCAAGAAATAATAATGATAAGAGATGTAATTAATACACCATGTATCTTTTAAGCCAAACCACGCTTTTCTGCTCAGAACAACTCTTGATTTTTACATTCTTAATCTCCTCTGTCCAGAAGAGGACCACATTTTAAGCCATTATTTGAATAGAGTTCATAATCTAAAGTCACTTTTCTTGACAGGATGTTTTCATTTTAGTATTCATACATAAGCTGCAAAAAGGCAAATGAAAGTCAGTTAAAAGAATCTGTAGCCTAATAAATGCCCATTTACAGTAACTGTCAACAGACTTCTATACCGAAGCCGAAAAGCTGCTACAGTACAGGTGAGAAGTGACATGATTCTTCCATAGACTCAGGCTTTGTTTAGTAATACTGTCATAAGATCCAAAAAGAAACCTTAACGGGTCCTTTCAAAGATGCATAATTTTCCGAACAATTTTCCTCTGGACACACAGCCTGTTCATTCCGTCAGTCCTTTTTTAGTCGTTTAGCTTTTGCAATATTTTCTTGACGTTTTTGTTTCTTCTTTTGCTTCTTTTCCCTGGCCTCAATCATCTTGGCCAGTTTCCAAGACAGCACAGCGCTTGCTAGGAACAATGGAGTCAGAGCCAGAATAACTGTCGTAAGGAAGCCGTACGTGTCCTTTGCAGCCCACTCCACTACATACTCAGCCCAGGCCTTTAGGTCAAACATCTTCCTGGAGGCCTTATGCTTGAGTAGTGATCTCTTTTAATTTTGTCCTGGGATTATCAGCCAGTCACAATTTCAGATGACCTTTGGTTAGCTGTCTTCTTTAACTCTACCAATACACTTCTGAGAGAAGGCTTAAATTCTATATACTCCAGGCCGGAAGCAGCAAGCCGGCCCTCAGGTTCTAATTAGTTGTATGTCAATATCATTTATGATTTTTAGATACAAACATCTAATAGAATGTGTTCCAATAGAACACAAGTGGTAAGAAGTGGGTTAAAGAATTTGAAGGCACCTAGTTTTTCTGAAAATGTTTGGTGTCTCCATTTAAGACAACTTAGGGCAAAAGGTAATCATTAGACTGCGTGTCTCCGCTTCATTTAGTGGTTCTTGTAGCTTTTTATTTTGCCCCTTCCTCTGCACCATACTCGTTGTCCTCTGGTTTTATTACATTTTCTGTGTTTGTGGTCTCTGCCCTGAAGGCTGCAGGATCCCAGCTCCTCTTGTCTCTTGTGCCTGCCCCTTTGGGGCTCAGTTTGGTCCTGAGGTTTGTGCCCTGACCCCCTGGATGGGCACTTGATTGCTGTGACCTGAGCCTGCCCTGGGTATTGAGGGGAGCTTCCCCATCGCTCTGTGGCTGTCACCGCCCTGTCTGTGGTGGGTCTGCGCCCTGGTTGGTGGAACAGAGCCCCCAGATCTGTTTCTTCGCTGTGATCCTGACCTGTGTGGAGGCAGGTGGGGTTGGAGCACACTCCCGGGAGAGAAGCCCCTGAGGACTGCTGCTCTGGGGATGTTCCCCTTGGGACGTGCTCTGTGCGTCTCTTTCACCCACTGGGTGAGTCTCATGTGACCCTGGTTGGCACTGATCTTGGCCCCACTTCAACCATGGGTATGCCGGCACACGGCCCTGGGGTCTCTCCGGTGTTGTTTTCTCTGGGTCACCAGCATAGATCCCCTGAACTCAGGGCCTCGGTCCCAGGTGCTGTGGAGCTGTGGGGGCAGCTCAGACTCCAGCCTGGCCACGTCCCCTCCTTACGAGCCCACAAAGTCTACAGATGCTAAACCACACCTGCTGGGACCGGGGCGGCCCCCTTGTCCTTCAGATGCTCTGCAGGGGCTGAGCTGACAAAGCCGGTTGCCTGTGTAAACGCATGGTTAGTGCAGCTGAGAGCAGAGACCTCAGCTTTGCTTCCTCAACCCTGGGGCTCAGCTGTGCTTTCAGCTCCATCTGAGCATGTGGTCCACCCACAGGTGTCTGCTCCAGAGGCTGCCCCAGAGCACAGGGGTCTGCTGACGGTGGAGGAGGGGCATGGGGGAGGCCGTGGCTGGGCCTCAATAGAGCCCACCGGGTGGCGGTCCTTCCTACTGCCAGGGATGAGGGGCCAGCACAGGGGGAGAGAGGCTGCGGTGGGGTTCTTCCCTTTGAGCCTCACTCAACAATGGCGCTCTGCGCTTTGGTGGTGCAGGCTTCCTCCACAAGGAGCTCTCCATTTGCAGAGCTCCTCCCTCCCTTCCATCCCCTCAGGATGTCTCCTCGTGGCCAACAGCAGTCCTCTGCCTGGGTCTGCTCTCCAAAGCCCACGTTCCAGCACCCAGCCCCTGTCTGCAGTCGTGGACACCCTTGAGGTGGACACCTTCTCAGGCTGGGTGGGCAGGGCAGGGCTCAGCACCCCATCTGCAGCTCTCACTGACCTGATGCCACACGCGGGTTGCCATGTTCTCCTCCACAGAGAATGAGGCTCTCCTCCTGTCCAAACTGGGCTCCCCCAGTGAGGGGTTCCCCGGATTGTGGACACCTCTCTTCAGATCCCCCCAAGGTTACAGGTCCCATCCCAGTTCCTCTCCTCTTCCTTCTCCTTCTACTTTTTTGGTCGTACCTGGCTCAGCAGGAATCTTTCTTGTTCTTTTAGGTGGTGGAGGTTCTTTGCTAGTGTTCAGAGGGGGCTCTGTGAGAATTGTTCCAATTCTGATGTATTCTTGATGCATTTGTGGAGAAAGATGAACTCCAATCTGCCTAAACCTCTGGCATCTTCATCCTTGGGTCCCCATTTTCTCTAAATCGTCAAGGATATTCACTGAGAGTAGTAGATAAGAAAGCTTCTATTTCGTATCTTTCAGCTGTGTCTTCTCACAACACCCATGGTTTGATGTCAAAGAATCCAAGGTTTGAAAATTTAATCCGAACAGAAAACCTAGGACTATATGAAAGAGCTCACCTCGGAACTGACCATTTAACCAAAGCCTGGGGATATACAAGGGTATGTGACAGACTGAGAGGATGTTTATATGGACAACATAAAGAAATTGAGACCTTTTCACATACTGTGGACATGACTGCCAGAAGAAATGAGCCCTGTGAGTCAAATTGGGGAAAGCACCCGTTTCAGTCATCAGCATCTGGTGTGCAGTGTATCTTTTTAAGCAATGACGTACACCAGTTTTTGAAACACACATGTTCTCTGAGGGGAAATGTGGAAAATCTGGAAGGTCATCCAGTCTCTACTCCAATTGCTCATTCAAACCACTCTGAACATAGACTTCGATTACACATACATTCAACCACGTCTGAAAAGGAGAAGTTTACAAATGATGGGGAAAACTCACAATATAATCAACTTGAGGTGTCTGTGAGCAACGGATCATTATTCTTCCACCAACAGACAGGTTCTCTCCAATCCAAAATGTGTAATGTTGATAATAATCGGAGAGACTTAATTCAGCCATCACTGTTTGATACATATCATGATAGGGTTAATATAAAACAACTTTTCATGTGTAATAACACAAGTCAGGCCTTAAGTAGGAGCTCCAACCCCAATAGTTACCAGAGTATTTATGATGGAGCAAGAAACTGTTCATGCAATAAGAGTGGATATAACATTGAACAAGACTTTGATCTTAGGAAACATCAGGCTCCTCAATCTTCAGATAAGGATTCTAAAAGTAATATATGTATGTATATCTTTTATCGAGCATCAGGGCTTTCACTAAATAAGAGTACACATACTGGAGAGAAGACTTACAATTGTAGTAAATATGATGTTTCTAATCAGGCTTCAAAACTTATTGCAGAGCAGAGTATTCAGAATCCACAGAAAAACTACAAGTGTAAGAAATGTCAGAAAGTCTTTACTAATGCACTCAATCTACATAAACATAGGACAATTCATACAGGATGGGATACTTTCAAATGTATAGAATGTGACAAAGCTTTTAATCAGAGTTCAAAACTTAGTCAACATCAGCAAATCCATATTGGCCAGAAGTCTTATAAACGTAAGGAATGTGGCAAAGGCTTTAGCCAGCCCTCAAGACTTACTTATCATCAGAGACTACATACCCGGGAGAAGTCTTTTAAATGTAAGGATTGTGGCAAAGCCTTTAAACAGTGCTCATGTCTTCATAAATATCAGGTAATTCATGCTAAAGAGAAACCTTATAAATGTCAAGAATGTGGAAAGGCTTTCAGTCAGTACGCAGCTCTTATTCAACACCAGCAAATTCATAGTGACGAGAAGCCTTATAAATGTAAGGATTGTGGCAAAGGCTTTATTCAACGCAGAGGGCTTACTTGCCATCAGAAAATTCACACCGGAGAGAAACCTTATAAATGTCAAGAATGTGGAAAAGTTTTCAGTCAACACGCAACTCATAAAAAACACCAGCGAATTCATACTGGAGAGAAGCCTTATAAATGTAAGGATTGTGGCAAAGGCTTTCGCCGGCGCTCAGGTCTTACTTGCCATCAGAGAATTCACACTGGAGAGAAACCATATAAATGTCAAGAATGTGGAAAAGCTTTCAGTCAATGCTCTACTCTCACTCAACACCAGCGAATTCATACTGGAGAGAAGCCTTTTATTTTTATTTTTATTTTTTTTTCATTTATTTTTATTAGTTGGAGGCTAATTACTTTACATCATTGCAGTGGGTTTTGTCATACATTGAAATGAATTAGCCATGGATTTACATGTATTCCCCATCCCGGTCCCCCCTCCCACCTCCCTCTCCACCCGATCCCTCTGGGTCTTCCCAGTGCACCAGGCCCGAACACTTGTCTCATGCACCCAACCTGGGCTGGTGATCTGTTTCACCCTAGATAATATACGTGTTTCGATGCTGTGAGAGAAGCCTTTTAAATGTAAAGATTGTGGCAAAGACTTTAGGTGCCGCCCCGGTCTTACTCGCCATCAGAGAATTCACACTGGAGAGAAACCTTATAAATGTAAAGAATGAAGAAAAGCTTTCAGTCACAATGCAACTCTTACTAAACATGAGCGAATTCATACTGAAGAGGAGCCTTATAAATCTAGGATTGTGACAAAGACTTTAACCCAGCACATTGGTCTTACTTACCAACAGATAATTCATACTGAAGGAAATCTCATAAATGTAAGAAAACCTGCAAAGGCTTTAATCAGAGCTCTCACCTAACTGGACATCAGAGAGCATGTCCTGGAGGGAAACCCTAGCAACGAAATAAGTGATGCAAGAGGGTTGTCCTGAACATACAGTTCAGGAAACCGAAGACTTTATATAAGAAAGATACAGAATGACATAAAGAAAATGTAAATAAGTATTTACAAAAAATCAAATCTAAATAAGTCTCAGGAAATGCATACTAGAATGCATTTAATAAATCCTGTTTTCTGACATTCCTCTTAGGGTGAAATATGGTAGATGGGATTCATAGTTAAAATAGACAGAAAATTGATATGTTAGTATGGATCACAAGATGAAGAGGTGATGTTTATCCATGTACAGTTACTAGCTATGTATGTTTGTTTACATTGACATGATTTGTGATTATTTGAAAACCAAGTGAATGTAACTGAATTCTCAAATTACTCCATGCCACACGTCATTTCTAGCGTGCATGCAAAGTTATGTTTTTGATGGTTGCTACCTCAAAGATGAGAGAAGCCCTTCTATCTAGGAAGAAAACATTTATAATTTTCTCCATTGGAAGATTAAGGACACAGTAATGTAACATGTGGAGTGAACATCTAAATGGTGGTGTTTGTCATTCATGTCACACATCCCTATAAGTCACCGTGATGTAAGTGTTCAGGGAATAATTCCACAGATTAAAGTAAGATGTACATTTTCAAGAGTTACATCACTTGCTTTTTTTTTTTTTTTTTTTGTCACTTGGTTTTTTTTTTTTTTTTGTTAAAAAAATTTTTTTAATTGAAGTATAGTTAGTGTACAATATTTTATAAGTGTCAGGTATACCAATATAGCGGTTCACAATTTTTAAAGGCTGAGACATTTTTAGTTTTAGTGCTGTCACATTTATGTGAAAATAATGCAAAGATCTCAGTTTTATTTCCACTTTTTTTAAAACTTCAAAGTCACTCAGCCATATCTGACTTTTTGCACCCCATGGACTAATCGTAGCCCATCAGACTTCTCTGTTGGCGGAATTCTCCAGGCAAGAATACTGGAGTGGGCCATTCCCTTCTTGGGGCATCTTTCTGATCCAGGGATCAAACTGGGTCTCTTGCATTATAGGCAGATTCTTTACAGGGAAGCCTATTGCAGTTGAGCATAAAAATGTCCATGGCTCTCTCAGAACCCACTATGCTGGGCAAAACTCTGCCAAGATTGTTGGCCATCTCAAGGTGAATTCTCTCTCTCTCTTTTTTTTTTTTTTCATTTATTTTTATTAGTTGGAGGCTAATTACTTTACATCATTGCAGTGGTTTTTGTCATACATTGAAATGAATTAGCCATGGATTTACATGTATTCCCCATCCCGGTCCCCCCTCCCACCTCCCTCTCCACCCGATCCCTCTGGGTCTTCCAGAGATGTCTTTAATTGAAACATGGCTACTGATATTCATGACTTCTGTTGATATTATAAAATACATCAAGAATTTAGTGAACTGTCTTTGTACTGTACTTAAAAGCAAGTGACAGAAAGTGACAGAAAATTCACTTGCTTTTAAGTTCAGTACAAAGACAGTTCACTAAATTCTTGATGTATTTTATAATATCAACAGAAGTCATGAATATCAGTAGCCATGTTTCAGTTAAAGAAATCTCTGCTACCCTAGAAATGTACGGAAAACCCTTCCCAGAAATGTCATGTAATTTGTGTACGTCTTCTTCAATGATTAGCCTCCCTTCTGTAACCATAGAAATCACAGTTCTCAGATCATTGTATCAGAGGAAAGAATATTATTCTTTATGCTTATAATGTGTATTTTAACCAAAGTTACATAGTGGAGTGTAAAAGGTTTTATTCTGTGTGTGATAAGCATACAATGTTAAAGAATAAAACTGAATGGTTTCTTGTGTAAATGGTGTGTAATGAATGAAGTGTTAGCCTAGCAATTTAACGTTGCAGGAAAGAATACCTAACAAGAAACTCTTCAGTAGCATAGAAGGGTGAAGTCTGTAACAATTAATTTCCTTCCTGACCTTTAGTTTCAAATCATTTGATCATGTATTTCCAATCATTTCTCCATTGTACTTTTCCCCCTCTCTGTAGCTGCAGGGACATTGTGACAGTTCTAATAAGAAGGATCATACAGAGTACTGTTGAGAGCTCCCCTGAACTGCTCCATGCTGTTGCTGCCTCAGCATCTGTCTGGGGAGCAGGCAGCCTGCAGGTCCTTGAACTCACACCAGCCAGTCCTGTGAGCACTTGCACTAGAAGACCCCCTTCCTTGAGACCAGCAGGCTTGCTGAACCCCAGGGCCTATTCACAGGCTCCCCTTCAATGCCACCCTCACAGAGCCACAAAATCCTAGTCCTTTTGGTCTGAATGGACCCATCCACACTCAGCCTGGGGAGCCCACAGCACTTCACCCAGGGCCTCTTATAAAAACCTGAACCCCAATTACTTCCTCTTTCTCTGCTCACTTCTATCCTTGACCTCACTCAGAGCTTGCTGTGAATTCTCTCAGGACCTAGAGTCATGAACTCACCTGCTTCAGTTGTCCTTTGTTCTTCTCTTGAGCTAAGTAAGACTTTTCATGGGCTCATTTAAGGAAATGTAAATTTAACATTTGTCACAAGAATACTTAAAAGTCATGATGGTAAAATTCTGAACTAAGATTTATAAAATCTAACCCTGTTTCTTAGCATATGTTTTTGTAAGGCTTAAAGGAACTGTTTTCTCATGGCTATGAAATACACAATGCAATAATATAAATATCTGAAAGTATATATGTTATATAATTTATATAACATACATTGAACACAATAAATAAATATCTGAAGGTATAAACACTAGCAGTGAGAAATACAAGGAACATGTGAGTGTGTATTAATACACATTTACTTAGAGAATTGAGGAATGCTAGATCACATCTGCTCATTTCAGAACTGCAGATGATTCACTAAAGACTGCAAATCTTATAAATTCGTCAACTAATCTATTCTGTCTACTCTTCTGGGAATTCATTTCCTTAAATGTCAGGAGGTTACATTTTTTAAGGAACTTCCACACTGTCCTCCCAAGTGACTGCAGCAGCTTACATTCCCTCCAGCCATTCAGGAGGTTCCCTGATCTCCAAGCCTTTTCAGCGTTTATGATATTATTAGTGGGCTTTTTGCTATTCTGACTGGCATGAGGTGATGCATCTCTGTAGTTTTGTTCTGCATTTCTTACTATTTAGTGATAGCGAGCAACTTTCTTTTGCGTCTTGCCCATCGAAAAGAGCAAGTTGTCCCACCCAGCCTCAGCTGCTGTGGGGACACAGGCTTAGTCTCCCCACAGCACGTGGAGAATTCCTGGACCAGGGATGATGCCCGAGGGCCCTACACTGTCAGGGGGATTCTTAAGCACAGAGTTATCAGTCTGTTTTTCTTTTGAGATGTATATATATGTAAACTGGAATGTTTTCCTTTACAATGTTGTGTTAGATTCTGCTGTGAAACTTCATCAATCAGCCATAGGTATATGTATACCCACTCTCTCTTGGACCTCCCTCCCACGATCTCTGTCTCACCCCTCTAGCCATCACAGAGCCCCGCACTGAGCTCTCTGTGCTATGGAGCAGCTTCCCACTTGCTACCTATTTTGCACATTGAGGTCAATATATGTCAAGGCTCTTGTCTCAATAGGGCCTCCTCTCATTCTCCCGCTGTGTCCACAGGTCTAATTTCTATATTTGTGAAAATATTGTATTAACGTATACATTCCATATATATATATGGAATCTACAAAATGTTATTGATGATCCTATATAAAGAGCAGGACTTGGGTTTCAGACATAGATATTAAGCTTTTTTATATTAAGCTTTCAAGGTATAAAATACATGGACAATCGTTCCATGCATTTTACAAAGTGAAAGAAGCCCATATGAAAATGCCACAAGAAGTAGGATTGTTACAACCCGGCATTGTGGTGTAGGTGAATGTTGTCAGGTGCTCCATTGTGTCTGAGTCTTTTGGACCCAGTGGACTGTGCCTGCCAGGTTCCTCTGTCCATGAGATTTCCCAGGAAAGAACACTGAGTGGGTGGCCATTTCATCTTTCAAGGGATCTTGTAGGGGAGCCTTACCCAAGGATTGAACCCACATCACTCGGGTCACCTGCATTGGCAGTTGGATTCTTTACCATGGAGCCACCTGAGAATCTAGTCGGAAATGTAGAAGAGATTAAAAAGGTCAGTGGTTGCCATGGGTTGTAAAGCAGGGGCTATGAATATCATGCGTTCAGGACCATGAAGTCATCCTGTGAAACTGTTGTAATGGACACGTTATTATACATTTGCCCAGACCCTAGAGTGAACACCCCTAGAAGAGAAACGGAAGGTGAAACTAGAAACATTATTTCAAGTCTTTCTAGA